AATGCTGTTACCTAGAATTGCATTTGGTGGAGTTAAAATAAAGATTTGTAAGTTGAGCAACTAATGTATACAGTTTCTCCATCCTTGTTTCCTTGCTTTTTTTACCATCTGTATTTGCAGGTTTTAAAATTCCCAATTTTTTATTTATCTTGTTTTACAACATTATAATACTGTTTTAAACTGGTCTGATGGTAGTTGTTTCTGGTTTGTATTAAATATGATCATGGAGTTAAAAGTTAACTGTCTTGGGAAAGTACTTGAAATGAGAAAATGACAATAAAATAAACTAAGAAGGATATTAAAAATTAGTTCACCTGGAACTAGAAAGAGAGAGAATATGTACTTTTTAAAAAAACAGAAAAAAATGGAAGAAACTTTCAAATCATTAGGATTTTTTTATCAGCCTGATTCTTTATATAAAGTTTTTGAAATTAATATTTCAGAAACTGTTTATATAGCTTCCTGCAATTATAGTAGTTTTCAATTTTTTGATTTGCAAAAAATGCTATTCTACAAATTATTTCTGTGAAATGTTTTGTCAAACAATTACAATTCCCTGGCTTCTAGCTCCTAACCAGCTCTACATTCCTAGTCTTTTAGTTTTAAATGCGTGCTGAGTATGACCTAGAGGCTAGTGTTCTGAATTGTTTAATCGAGTGTTCATGGTTTGTGACCTGTTTCTACAAATTCACATTACACACTTTGGAATATGGGTGCATCATAAGAGTAATGGTCAAATATTACTATTAAATTTATTCAATTAAGAGTTGGCAGTGGTTGCTGTTGACCAACTATTCCAAGGATTGGCAACCCATCAGAAAAGAGCCATTGTTTTGTTTTTGTCTAAGACCAAAACATTTTGAGAGGTGCAACATGCATGAATGTGAATACACTAAATATTAACATATAATAAACTTTCTTGATTTCTTGTTGTTGGCTAGTTTCTCATTGCAAATTAGGCATAACAGGAGATGATTTGAACATGATATAAACACATAGGACTCATTTCATTTATAAAAAAAAATTTTCAAAGAAATAAAGCAAATCTCATAATGTCATTATATTTGTATGTCAGATTGAGTCTTTAATTTTTTATTCTGACAAATGAGAAATTGTGCTTTTTATTTTTGGGGGAGTATTTCTAAAGAGCCACATGTGGTTACACGAAGAGCTGCTGGTTACTGACCTCTGAACTAGTCTATCAGTTTAAAATTAGAGACCACTAGTGTAGATAGTTT